TGTATTATTACGTTTAGGTGTTAAAAAAACAGTATTCCAAACGAAAAAGCATAAAACAGATACTCACGATCCAAAAAGGTGGTTTCGCTAAAATCTCTCTGAACTGATGTGTTGGTGCTCGCAAGGCGACTAGTGACGAAGGCGCCGTTCAGGTAGGTTGAAGAGTTTCGTTAGGAAAATTATTCTTATAAACCAATCAATCGTGTATGGCCGGGTTCGAAAGGGTGATGTTGACAAAAATTGCCATACGTTTTTATTCAGGCGCAATAGGTTTAGATAATGTAATTTCTTGTGTAAGCAAAATGTGCCTGCCACAATTTTGTTCTCTGTTGTTCAAAAAGAATTATAAGAAAGTATAAAGTCGACAGTCCTATTGAATAAAAGTGGATTATCAAAACTTTATAGGGAAAATAAAAAGAGAAAAACTTCAATAACATTCCCTGACAGATTTATTTCGGAAAAATGTATGACGAAAACGACGACATTAAATTAATTTGTGCGTTTTCGTCGTAAATGAAATTCTAACTTATTTATCTCTAACGAAGTATTGGACCAAGACATGGAGCGTTGAGATCTCTCAGATCCAATTGAATCAATTGGGGGATAACGGGTACCTAGTTAGCAATGAATCGCGAGTAGTTAAGGAGTTGCAAATTGGTTGTGACTGCACGACTAACCGTTGCGCCAATATTGCGGAGTCGTCACTTCTGGATCCAGTAACAGTGGTGCTACATTGATTTTCGGCTAGTGATTGCAGACTTCTTAGGTTTTTGCGATTCTTACACACACGAAACTATTTTTTCGGATCTAAACCGCGTCCCTACTTATCTAAAGAAAAAAAAAATGTTTTTCAAACAAACCAACGTTTTAGGCCCTTTACAGGTCTCATGGTCGCGGCTGACTGATCATGCCACGTCATGGTCCCATGAGACAACCGTGACATATGATATAAAAATATAAATAAATTTATTACATTCACGCTTAGTATAATTAAGCGGGTAGTATTACCCGATTTCAAGGGCCCTGCGTCAAGGTTGGGCGTGGTCCCTAATTAGGACGCCGCTCTTATTACTTTTTTGTCTAATATGTATATAAAAATATAATATTTATAAGACCAGATTGTTATGTACGACTCCTTCTGGGAAGGTACCCAGACCCAGAGGGCCTCCGAACTAAAACCTCCTGCTCTTTGGTGTTTCGTCTTCGATATATTTCGAAGACATTTTGCTTTTTTGTGGTCACATCAATATATCTTTTAATTTTAATGGAAATTAAGCTTATTCTATTTTCTTTTTATGCCCCGGTAATTGACCTTGTTATGTTAATGTGTTATTATTATTATAATTCTTTACATTTAATTGTGTTTTTATTTATACAGCTCTATTTTTTTAGCAGGTGTATTAAGTTTTATTTGGGAAAATTTTTTTTTAACACTTTACACATATGTAAAATTTTTTACAGGTTTTATTCACCGTTAGAAGCAAATAAGGGTTAACTTTTTTCACCTTGTTTTGTTTTTTTTTTTGGTAACCTATTCAAACTCGAATTAATTTTTTCCCAAATAACGTTTGTTCGAATTTTCATTACCCCGAAAACTGATCGTTATAATAACGAAACCTTTGTTCTTTCAGGATATGTCGGATGTTTTTCGCAAAGTCACGGTTCGGTTAGGTAGGTTAAGTTAGGTTTTAAAAAAAATTCTCTCATAATTACTTTAGAGGATATGAAAATTCGAGCAAACGTTATTATACTGAAAAAGGTCATTTCAGACTTCTGATAAATAACAGTTTCCTTTATTTTAGGACTATTATTGACTAGGTATACTTTCAACAACTTACTTCGGAAGTTCTTTAGGGCGAGTCACATGAGGGGAAGCGGGAAAAACTATTTCGCTGGGATAAAATGGTTTAGGTCTTACTATTAAATGTCTTACAAAAAATTTACGATACCTACACCAAATGATATTGAGTAAAGAAAGTGCTAATTTTTTGTTGGCTACACGATAGGATGTACTTTGCTCGATAATATAAAATCCTGAAAACAGGCTAAAATAAAAGTCTAAAGAGAATTGTTTAAGAATAAAAGATCTAACTTTGCACACAAGCATTTGTTACATGAACATATTTATTTTTATGTAATATAGAGAACCTGTTAAATTTTGGCTTTTTTTTTTTAATTAAATGGACTTGCTCTTGACCACTACTTAGCTCTGAAGCAACGATAGGATCGACGATGGTACGAGCTCGCCTAGACGATGCCTATTCAGTCGCACCTTAAAGATACTCTGGTTGTATGAGTTCGGAAACACAATCGCAGACAGGGAATTCGATCCTTGGGCTGTGCGCATAATAAAAGATGATGAAAAGCGCTTAGTACCTACGCCTGTACCGAATGTCGACCGATATCCTGCCGTACTCCTGGATGTCCAATGTATGTCTGGATGTCTGATGGTAAAAGGGGGCAAGTGGGATGAGCCGAGGGAGCTCATGGGCACTCACCGAAATATATTCTGTTGACAACAGACAGACGTGCAACTTTGCACCAGCAAAACTATGAAGTTTAAAAGTTTTCAACTAACGCCCTACAGTTATTGTACCCATATTGGATAGGATTTCGATCGAGCGACTACGTAACATCAACGATATTTTGATAGCTTGAACTTACTACTGAGTGTACGTCTCCTTATATTCCCAAAATAGTCTATATTTATTGTCATAAAGATAACATCATTAACATGTGGTGTGGAAAAAACAGCAAAACATCTATGGACAAAACAAACGGAATCACATTTCATCGGTAATTAAATATGTAATTTTGTCAATTTTCGTCCGTTATAGCAACGCTCAAGTTAAACTGGTCCATTTGAAGTGAAACAATTGACAACACCTGATGGCGACGATGCTTTTTGCGGCATCACAAATTAGCTTATTAATCGCAAAATAAAACTCCGACTTTTCACGTGACATGTGTGTGTAAAACAATCTATCAACATGACAACAAGCAAAGAAATAAAATATAGTATAAGGAGTCCGTAACAACACCCGTCAGTTGTTTCGAATTCGGGCTGGCCAATTGGAGTGCTGTTGTCACCGTAATGATTTGGCCTTAGACTATTTCCTTTGTTTTTTTTCCATCCTCTAAGGATTTGGCAGAACAGTTTTCAAACAAATTAAATGACATTTCGTTTCTATTTCTGATTATATACTCGATGACTACCTCCTTAGTATATTAGGATTAAGTATAATTTTTAATGATTATTAAAACAGATGTGAATGCAACATTTTCAAAAAGGTTCAGGATATTTTATTAGTTCATTTATTTAGGACGAAAAGCGAGTGACGTACGTTTTATCCTAATTTGGATGCTGATAAGCAATAACGTGTCAACCAACATGATCTAAGTTTTATGAAAATGGCACCTAGAAACTTTTCGTTTCGTTTTCGAGATTAAAAAAAAATAAATTTACTTATTTATTTTTAAAAACACCATGACAGGTTTGACCTAATGCGATAGTAAAGCAACAAACTATGATTACTAAACTCTTACAGCTACCATTGCAGATGTATTTCCTAATACCATACTGTTATTACCTTACTGGTTTCAAATGAAATTGTACAATATGCAGCCTCTGCGAATTCATTCAGAGAGAAATTGAACAAATCGATGTCGTTTGACACCGCGTTGAGTGTACGCACCGCTCTGGCGACCAAACAACAGCGTTGCATTCGAGATGACTTTTTACCAGGGCCACATATAATGCTCTCAAAGCTCGTATAATCGTTAATTTAATCATTTGTATTTGACAAACGTAACACCAATTTCAGATTGCGGTATGCTTTTAACATTACATCAATGATATGACTCCGAAAATTAATGTCGCTGGTGAAGCTCACTCCTGAATCTTTAACCTTAAATACACGCTGCATTGGCGTTTTGTCTATGTAGTATTGATGGTGACCTGGGCAACGCGCACGGCTGAAAGATAACACTGAACTTTGGTTACATTAAAATATAATTTATTATCAAGACCCCACTCAACGATCCCATTAATGACTTCGATTTCGTAGGTAGCGAAAAAGGACGGTGTGCGGTGTGCAACCTACACAAGCCAACTTAGTTCGAAGGACATTATTTATTACATGAAAAGCCTTCCTATAATCGAAGTAGACCACGTCTATTTGTTGACCGCATATAGTACCGGCATCCACTGCCGGTACTATACGTCATCAGATCCAACAAGATCCCCGCTGTCCCACGCCCAGGACGGAAGCCGTGTTGCGCGTCAGACAGCAAAACGCTTATTTGTGGATACAGACTACAGTGAACTGTCGACTCAGACTTTGGATGGCGTGCACAAAATCGCTACGGATCTATGATCACTAGGTGCTGAACCTCCACTACCCTTCCGCACAGGTACAACCCGAGTGAGTTTCCAGTGACCAGGAAACTTTGCTGCCGTAATACAGACGTTGAACAAGTGCAGTAACGGCCCGACTATGCTAGTTCTACTCGTTCAACTGGTTCGTTCCGTTGCTTATTTGGCATAGCATGTGACACGGTTTGCTAGAAGACGTCGGTTGGAACACGGCCGGATCGAAGGAATTTTTTCTGAGAGTTTTTCTAAGTGTTCGATCTTTGTATTAATAATTATAACAAATTAGTGGAGTCATTTCACAAAAAACAATTGAATATCAATTCAACAAAAATTTAAATATGTATGTACTAAGAAATACTTGTTGGAGATAAATGTTTGCATAGAATTCCGAACTCACACACGCACGCACGCCTGTTCACGCACGCACGCCTGTTCACGCACGCACGCCTGTTCACGCACGCACGCCTGTTCACGCACGCACGAAATGTTTTAAAAATAAAACAAAATAAATAAAACTAAAATATTACAAAATTAAATCGTCAGGTAAATTACATCATAAAATTTTTTGTTCACATTTATTACGACAAAGCTTTATGTTTATAATAACGAATTTTTTTATTGAACTGGGTATATCATGTCGTCCTTACTTAAAATCCTGTCATAAATAGTGAATAATATTATGGCATACACATGTATTATATTTTACAAAAAAAAATCAGTAGTTTTGCCAAAGAACGAAAGTACCTATAAAATGAAGTACCTACAGGCACTTTCGAGTATTAGTGAAATTACTTATCTTTATGAAATGATGGATTATTCGATTTTATAACAATCTCAACTATAAAATACTTACAATTATTTTCGGATATTACAAAATTGGAGTATAAAAGTTTTAAAGTACATACAAAATTTTATAATATAAAAGTTTCTACAATTTCTCTACAATCAACATAGGAAGCTATCAAAGTCATAATATATGGTTTTATCGCTAAATTACATTACATCTAAGTTGCCATCTTTTATAACTTAATAAAATACGAACACAACATCTCATAAAATAATAATATTTGTAACATCACTTAACACAAGATCAAAAATGAAAAATCACAAAATAACATTTGAACTTAATATTACCGTCTAGATTCATAATAATACTTGTCAATCTCATTATTATTTGGTATTTTTCTTTATCATATTCTAAAGGTCATATTTTAAACTATAAAGCGCTTGGAATTACCTGTGCCATTACAACGTTTTAACCATTATTCTAAACGTATGGAGAATTAGATAGGGAACAAATGAAAATGCTATTTGGAGTTAAACATCAGAAGGCTAAATGTTTTGTATATGTCTATTAGTACCTGAATTACTCGTATATCAATTGTCATATAATTAAAGGTAAAACGCGTGAGCTATAGTTAAAGTCATATGTTAAATCATTTCAAAGCATTCTCGAATATTCGCAACTGTTTTGAACACCACTGTACCAACTGTTGATGAAATACCACTGCTTAATCCAAACACGTCAATGCTATTTTGAATTACTGGACTCCATTGTAAGCCAAATAAGGCAATAATATATTGTCAAAATTTGATGCGCTTGGAAATTGCGTTCAATAAGGATTTACAAAATATCAAATGATCACAAGTTTGCATTTGCTTTGTCATTCATACCTACCTTTAGAATCACACATTTTGTGGTAGTCAATCTCTTGTAAAAAAACGGAAGCTCTTGTCAGAATTAAGAATTGTCTCAGTTCCATTTTGAAACCAGCTACATATTGACGCAGCGTAATTTCTTTTCAGGTATTCTTGAAGCGAACTGGTTGCTCAGAACAACGGCTTTAGCTTCAGGTTTCTTTTCATCTTGTACGTTCTGTGAATCTCCTATCAAAGTCTTAAGGCATAATTTCGCTTCGGCTGCGAATTTCCTAACCAATCTTTCTAGGGAAAATAAGTGCTCGTCTAAAGCTTCAGGAACCTCTTCTCTCATGAAGTCGGCTAAGTTTAAAAGATATTCTACGTTTGAACCTGATGGCCCGCTGCTTTCGAGAATTTGTTTAGCTATATCTGGTAAAGGAGCGGAACCCAGCCAATGGCGGTTTTCGGGAACAGCTATATATAAGAGAGCATCTTTCTTTTCATCATGGTGGCTGGACGATGGCGAAGGGTGGAAAATGTCCGGCCGCGGATGGAAGTTGACAACATATGTTCTATAGCCTCCGAGTTGGCATTCTCGATTAGATAAGTATGGTAAAGCATGAGAGTTTCCAGAGCCAACTAAAAATGCCTTGCCCCAGGTGATTCCCTGAAACAAGAAAAGAAGAAACTGTAACTATTTATAATTTGAGGTTAAAGCAGCTCTGAAGATAAACTAGGGTTGAATTTTTAAGAATATTTAAGACGAAATAAATCTACTTTGAATTGAATAGAATGTAATAATAAAGTAACTTTTTATGTTTGAAATGAAAAAATATCCAATATAGGTGTTTTGATGTGTTGGGGATGTTTTTGTATGTTGTTAGCTATTAATTAATTATTAGTTGTTTATTTAATTGAATTATTTTTTAAAATATCTAAATGAGAACGATTACCTTAGTTACTTTACAATTTTATGAAATGAGAAACAATGTCGTGGCGCTTTCGGTGAGACGACAATAAGTTGAGTGAATGACGGATTTCGTAACAGCACAGTGCAAACGCAATTTATTCGTCAAATAATTATTTAAGTTTTTCTTCTTATTATTTGTTAATTTGTACTATAATGAGGCATGTTGTGCTTTCCACTTCTATTAAGTCTTGTGTTGTAGTGGCAAAGTATTATGTACTGTAGTAGTTATATAGTATGTGTTTGTGTACTGTGCTTTTTACAGAATAAATGATCTCTATTCTATTCTAAATACGCTTAGTTTAAATATAGCTCGCTAGTCTCACAAGCAGTTCAAAGTGAGTACGATGATAATATGACCAACAACAAATTACGCAGATTGTTTTACGATACAAAATACCTTGTTTATGTCCAACACGTGCACCGTGTTGGACATGAACAAAGAAATTTGCTAACAAAGTACCTATACGAATCGTATATATTAAACAATTTATTACGCAGTAATAATATGTTTTCAAATAAAGTAAAGCATGTTTTCTTGTGATAAAACTTTTAAGAGGATATTCTTTGTCAGAGAAAAATGTATCTTTGCTTTGTCATCATTAAAAGTTACCAGACTTGGCTTGTTTTAAATGCGTAATAAACCCAAGATTATGTACATAGGGTTTACGGTTCGACAGATTTATTTTAAACAAAGTTCTATAACATTATTCGAAATCTATTAGGTACGGTCGCACTGAGGAAATATTGGTACGTCTAGTGTAGTTTAGGTATTGTGGAAAAAAATTATACAAAAAGATACCGATTGATCTTTCACCCTCAGGACGACGATAGAACTTTTACACGTTTTAATTAGTTACTATAGAAGGCGAAAGCATGAAAGTTTATTAGACAAAATATTTTGAAAATCTCAACCGCTACACTGTCGGAATAAGCAAATGAAAATTGATCAATAAAATATATACCAAAAGTATCTGCTTTTAAGCGGTTTATCATATTTCCGCAGACTATTTAGATAAAAAAAACACGACAATTCGCTTTTAATCATTAAGTAAGTATACCTATATAAAAATATCTCGTATGGAAACAAAGCTGATAACAGAGCATGTTAAAATATCGTTATAAACATCGACATTCTCCAAATGAAGCACGCGCTTAAAGTGGATAGATAAAAAAAACAAATACGCAAAAACAACGACCTGCCTCAGGCAATTACCCAACAGCGTAAATGAAAAATACAACATGGTTATACACTCATTAATGCAATAGATAGAGAAAATGTATTGGAGATGATTACTTTACAATCATCTAAAAAAATGCATGAGACGCGAAACAGAAAATCATTCTGATAACTATTATCAAGTACTAAGATACTGCAATGTAAAGCAAATACAAACTGGAATTATCGACTACAGTAAAAAGTGAATTATAAAACAATAAATGATAAGAAGTTTGGGAAAACACTACGGACGCACGAATAAACTCGTCAAGGTTACAATTCTTACCCGGGTTGTTTTAACAACAATAATGTTTATGTTCCCTTAATCTTCGCAGTCACGTACGTCACAGTACTGGTCCTTTTAACAATAAACACGGATGCTATTGAAGGAAATACAGGATATTACATAAGACCGACATAATGGATCATCTTTATGATGCTACACAATGATTCTTATTTCTGAACATACTTATATATCAGAAACAATTCGAGTAAATGTTAACATAACCGTAACTAGAACGTGTTACTAGTAACTTAATGTAGCGTAAATTGGAATGTTTTCTTTGTAAAATTATAAATAAGGTATTTAAATAATAACTATTGTAACTATAGTGAAAAAATAGGGTAGTTTGCATCAATATTAGACATAACTGGTTGAAGACTGTACCACCTTAGTCAACCGTGACCATGGGACCTGTAAAGGGCCCGAAACGTCGGCTTGTTTGAAAAAACAAATATACGCGATTTAAATCCGGAAAAATAGTTTCATTTCCTATGTGTAACAGTTGCGAAAACCTAGTTACATGGTGTGCATTTCGGAAATCTAATTGAGTAATAAATATCTATTTCTTTTACACTCGTGACACAGTTTTTGTACCAGTATTATAATATTATATTTAGTAGCAGTAGAGCTCCTTGTGAAAGAGTTCGTCCAGGGTAGTACTGCCACCTTACCTATTTCTGCCGCCAAGCAGTAATGTCAACATTACTTACGTCAGCTAACTAAAACGGGGTTATACGACAAAATAACTTTTTGAGATATCATAAAAAACCATAACCCAGTTTTAGAATATTGAAATTATTTAATGATATTTCAGCTATGCGTCGACCCCTCCTATGTAAAGTTTCGTATGTCGAAATTGCCAAGTTTACAGGGGAGCGTTTCAAAGTTCTGAATTCACTGTAATGGGCATAACACGTGACTTGAGCACTTCTCAATTTTATTTGGTAAACCTCGTTCCTCACATAGAGTATTATAAAATCTTAGATATCGGTTAGATGATCTATTAGATGATCACTCTATGTGAGTAACGAGCTTTGCCAAATAAAACTGAAAAATGCTAAAGTCGCCAGCCGACTTTAGCATTTCTACGAAAAAAAAAAGCCGACCTCAATAGTATGTGGAATTACATCTATTTGACAAGTTTTATTCAAATCGGTTAACGGAAAGTGGTTGAAATCCAATAAACTGCATTCATCCCCTAACTAAG